GCCTGGCCCTGTGCCATCTTTTGACCATTCTGATGGGACTCCTGGTGTGGCACTGTAGGAGCAGCACTGGGCTTCAAACCACAAGGTATGCAGTTCAAACTCACCAGCTTCTCCTCGGAAAACCTATACAAGGTTCCTATGAGTTGCAACCACTTTGATGACGCTTAATAACAACAATGGGACTGCAATCTTTTATTGCATTTCTCTCGCTAATTTTTTGTTTCTGTCTTCCTGTATGATTTGCAATATGGCAAATCTGCAGTGGTTGTACTAGACGCCCACATTAGAAAAGAGAAAATAACTAATATGAAAGTTGTTGTTGCTGTTATTAAGTGCTGTCGAGTCAGTTCCAACCCATAGAGATCCTATATAGGGTTTCCGAGGAGTGGATGGTGAGTTTGAACCGCCAACCTTGCAGATCAAACCAACTTTGCAGTCCCGCACATGAACCTGCAGCGCCACACTAGAACTCCATGATACAGACCGCTTCACGAATTGAATTTGTGTCATGAAAGTAGCTTCTATTCAATATTTACAGTAAGAAACAGCATGCAAAAGAGGAGCAACTCCCCGGGCTCAAAAGCTGTCTAGTGTTTTGGGTGAGGGGCTTAAATGGGAGAGTCACAGTACATGTTGCCCCCCCTGGACTTCTGGAAACAATCCCAGGAGATGCAAAGAACTCTTGCACGTAATTCTGAGGGACATTCTGAGGGATACAATAGGTGCTTATCTTCTGCAGTTTGGTCACTTGGCCAAGTGATCTGTAAACATGCTATTAAGTTCACAGCCCACCTAAACAGCACCGTTTTTTATATTCCAAAGCCCCCTTTGCACACTACTTTACTTGCTTGTGGCCTATGAGGTGGTCGGATGGAGGCCTCAGCATGTGCTCTTTGTCTTGCGGGAGGTTTGTTGCCAAGGAGAAGAATTAGACCCTCGATTCATTTACATACGTTTACGTTTGGCTTGACTCTTTAGAAAGACGAAAGGAACCTTAATTGCTCAGTCTATTTTCAAGAACCTGTGTTCCACTATAATAAATGCTGTGGATTGAAGTCCCACCAGTCCTGTAGGGCTTGTCTCAAAGGTTGCATTTTCTGCAAAGATTTTCCTGAGACCTTTTCCTTCCCTTCACCAGTTGTCCGTCCTTCTTTGGGAGGCTACTGAACTTTGTACCCTTCATAATATTTAATCATAGGCGTTTTAGTATAGCATGTGTGTACTTAATTTATCTTTACCCCAAGATGTTGTTAGATGCATTGGAGTGTGTTCCAGCTTATAGAGACTCCATGTACAACAGAACAAAACACTGCCCAGCAGCCCTTGCACCATCTCCGCAATTGTTATGTTAAGAGTCCATTGTTGAAATCTCTGTGTCAATCCATCTTGTTGAGGGACCTAATTAATCTTTCACCTTTTTCTCTTGCACTCCCCTAGCATGTTTTTTTTTGACAAGTGTTGGGACTTCAGTAAAACAGTTATATAAATTCGTTGGAAAAAGGTACTTAATATGTTTTTAATTGCCGTGGAATTGGTTCCGACTCAGAGCGACCCTGTAAAGTGTTTCTGGAGTGGTTGGTGGGTTTGAACTGCTGACCTTATAGTTTGGACTCCAGTGCTTACCCCACAGCACCAAACAGGTGAACAAAAGTGCTGCTGGCTTATCAGATGCAACGTAGTTATGTAGAATAAAAAAATTATATGTATACACAAACATACGTATGTATATCAGTTTACTAAGTTGGCTTTGTGCTACTATTGAAGGATACTGGAGGCGGATATTGCTTTTAATTCCGGCGCTGTGAAAAATAAAAAGTTGTTGCTCAGGTACTTAAGGATACAAAAATGATTTAAATACTTCTTGCAACTTGGGATTGGGTAGGGCACTGGCAAATGTTGTAAAAGTTAAGTGTAAAGCGGCTCCAAGGATTTGAAAGCGACGCACCCGAAAGAACCTTCCAGAAATGCCTTAACTGGGATGAGCAAGAAGTTCGATGCGCCAGGGAGGGCAGAGGGGTGCGGGGCGCGCAACTTTCAGGATTTCCTGCTCTCCGAGAACCAGGCCAACCAGTTCCCACAGTCACCTTCCGGCCTCATCTCCGCCTTCTGCAGACCCATAGCCCCAGCGCCCTTCGTCTTTGGGCACCTAGGCCCGATCAGGGCGCGTCGCGGGCAGGGCCAACCCGGGATGCCAGGGCGGCAGGGGCAGGGGGCCGCGTTGGGTCGGGGTTTCCAGGTGAAGGGCAGGAAAACAACCGGTCGGGCAGGGTGGAGACGGACTGGCGGGCAGGGTGAGGGTGGAGGGCACATTGCCTCATCCTGTACATTTTTACTGGAAACTAGCGCATCCGGAGGAGGTGCCGGGAGGCGGTTCTGGCTCCACCAATGGCCGGGCCCGGTGCGGGAGGTCGGCTGGCGCCGTAGTCTCCTCCCACGCCTCGCAGGCCAGTTAAATACTCAGCAGCGCTGGGCGGCGCCCGTCCCGGAACCGAGCGCCTCAGCTACAGCCGGAGGTCACTGTGCCCAGCGATCCGGTGGCGCAATTGTCTAGGAGTTTTCGCGCGTAGCGCCCGAGAGCATGATTGTGGATAAACTACTGGACGACAGCCGCGGCGGAGAGGGGCTGCTGGACGCGGCCGGCGACTGTGGCCTCATGACCAGTCCGCTTAACCTGGCCTATTTCTACAGCGCGTCGCCACCGGCCGCGGCGCCAGGTACCTGCGACGCCAGCTGCTCATCTTCTGGGCCCTCGGCACCCGGCTCGCCCGGCTCCGACTCCTCGGACTTCTCCGCTTCATCTGTGTCCTCTTGCGGGGCAGTCGAGTCGCGGCCGAGAGGCGGCTCCCGCGCGGAGCGGCTGCAAGGTACTCGAGTTAGCAATTCCCATGAAGTTATTAACACCTGGGAGGGGAGGGCCCCCAGATATGAACAAATTTGACTTCGATCTCTTGTAAGCGCCTTTGTTAGCCACCAACATAATCAAATTAGCCAACGATTAAGTGACTACTGGATGCCCTGCCCAGTGTTGGGGCGATTGACCGCCTATGAAATTCAACCGTCTTCATAGCTTTGAAAGATTAGTTCTGATTTCTGGAGGGGCATGAACCACATTCGCTCTTTCTCTTACGGTGATGATTTTGTTGTTTTGTGTGTGGTTCTTTAAAAAAAAAAACCAAACAAAAAAACCCAACAAGCTACAATACATATACTGTGGTAAGGTTTTAGGTCTGTTGTGCTTAATTTTCTACTTGTGACTATTTTAATGTAAGGCCAATTGCAGGGCAAAAGGGGTTGGGTTCTGTTTATTTCTTCAAGTTGTGGGAATAATAATAATAAAAAAAACTTTGTTAAGTAAAGCAACTGCTACAATCTAGAGGTAGTCTGAAGCTGGACTAGGAAACGAACTCCGGTTATACCTCTTAGCTGTGGTATGTTTGCGAGTTTAGGAAGGAAGGCAGCAGGCTCTGCTCTTATTTTTGTTCTTTGCACTTTAAAATGGTTAAGACTATCTAGCAAAAAAAGGCACGATGTTCCCTGTCTTTGATTTTGAATTGCTTAATTTTCTTTTTGTAACAATGAACTTAGTTTCATAATTGGGGCAAACAGCAGGATGGCACTGTGAGTAGACTGAAGAATGTCTTGATCTCTAGCTTTATTCAAAACAAGGTCTTTTCCAGATGCTCCCCACAGCTCGGCTCCATGCGTCTGCTTTGATCGTCTTTTAATTTTTAGCAAGTTGTCTTTCATGAGTGAATTATTTTAAAAGCCACTTGATTATGTGAAGTGTTCACTATATGTTAAATGTGTACATATGCCAATTGGTAGTGTCTAAAAGAATTTTAATAAAACGTGTGAGTGTGTGTACCTGTTTTTAGAATCTTTTCTCCCACATTTGGCATTCATGTGGCTGGAACTATTCTGCTTAGTTCCTAGATTTACCACATAGCGGTAGGGGATTTCTGAAATAGAATTTTTCTCTCTGTGATGTGATGTTAAACGATTTACTCTGTCATTCCAGAGAAATTCTGTTCGTTTCTGGCGCCTCTAAACTAAACTCTATCTTTGAGCTGTTTATTTTATATATTTATAATGCATGTGTATTTAGATGTTGTATTATTACTTGTCCCATCTTTTTTCTACCTTTAATGAAGTGACTAGATTATTCATTTCCTGACCTTTTGCATGTTTACTTTGTGATCAACTCAAACCCCAGGAGACTGTGACATAATAGTGGTCAGAAGTGGAATGCTGTGCTGCTCATGCTGTATTTTAAAGTATATTTCAAAGTTTCAATGTGAAACAAGTACATTATTTCCTTTTTACTTTGGTCTGTGCTAGAAATTCCACAGTCAAGGGGAAATCCTGTGTGTGTGTGTGTGTGTGTGTGTGTGTGTGTGAGAGAGACAGTGTACTTAGGGGTGGTGAATTTAAGCAGTTTTCTTAGCAAAGATGAACTGAGAAATCATGAGAAAACAAATCAAAGACATTGTTCATTGTTAGGCTTTGGTACATTGAGATATTAGGGGAAGTTTGTTTTATGCTTTTCGTGAATGGAATGAACAGATTTAAATTTCTGGGCATTATGTCTTTGGTGGTATTGAAAGCTAAAATGTCTTATTTATCCCTTGCTCTCTCCCCAAGGCTTCTCTAATGAAAGATCTGTGAAAGGATGGCAAAATCTGTGATTCTGCTTTAATGGGTAGTTACGGCTGACAAACAGCAAAGTTTGATTTGGATTTATCAGTTGCCCCCTGGGACCCCTGACCACATTTTTGTGAATGTGAATTCCTCAACGATTCTAGTGGGGAAAGTTTCAGACAACATAGAACCTTTGATTAGGGCCTGGGACAGACAATGAAAGTTGGAAAGGCTTTTTGCAGTCTGGGTGAAGACTTTTATTCATTAGCCAGCTATGCTTTTTGGGATTATAAAGATTTGTGCTTGTGAAGAGATTGATTTAATTGGGATAATTTTTTTTTTTTTTTCCTCTCTTTGATCAGTTGAACCCCATATGGGGGTTGGAAGGCAGCAGAGAGGACCTTTTCAAGGCGTTCGTGTGAAAAATTCGGTGAAGGAACTCCTGTTGCATATCCGAAGCCATAAACAGAAGACTTCAAGCCAGGCTGTGGATGATTTTAAGGTGGTACCTTGTGTGTGTGTGTGTGTGTGTGTGTGTGTGTGAGAAGGGGGTAGATTTGGGAGATTAGTCTATTGGGGTTATTCTTATCTAGTTAGTCACTTTCCTAAACCGCATGACCCATAGGACAGAGGCCATATTTGTCTTCTTGTCTCCCCTATTCTTATGAGCCCAGTGCTAGAAACCTAGTAGGTGTACAAGAGAAATTGAGTAAATGAAGGCAAGTTAGTTACCCACTGTTGTTGAGTTGATTCTGGCTCACGGCCACTCTACAGGACAGAGTAGAACTGCTCCCTAGAGTGTCCGGAGTTTATAGGAGCTCTGGTGTGGTGCTGTAAGATAAGCACTGGGCTTCTAACTACAAGGTCAACAATTCGAACCCACCAGTCGCTCCTCAGAAACCCTACACCGTGAGTAGGCACTTGACCAACAAAGTACAATCTTTATGGAAATAGACTGCTTCATCTTTCTTCCATGGAGTGACTGGTGGGTTCAAACTGCGGATCTTTGTTAGCAGCTGAGTGTTTAACTACTGAGTGAGTCACCAGGGCTCCTTGAAGACAAGTTACCAAAAAACATTAAACAATACAAAAAAACTCCTCTGCCATCAAGTTGATTCCAATTCAGAGCTACCCTGTAGGGTTTCCAAGACTGTAAATCTTTATCTGAGTAGACAGCCTCATTTTTCTTCCTCAGTTTGAACTGCTGACCTTGAAGTTAGCAGTCCAGTGCTTATCCTATAGCATTACCAGCACTCAAAGGAAGTAAGGAGAATTTAATTGAAATGGAACATTTCTGCCAGAAAGGGAAAACTCAAATGGCCCTGTTATTTTCATCTTGACCTGTGTTGAGCTACGGTGAAAGTGAAAATGGGGAAGTTGTAAGTTAGGATGAAAATAAAGGTAGAAAAATAATATTGATAGAAGAACTATATCAAAGATTTATCGTGAGCTATAAAGGATGATAGAGATAAGTCTATTCATTAATGTATAGTAAGCTGGAAGCCATTTTATATACACTAAACTGGAACCTTTCTTCTTATAGACACAAGGTGTGAACACAGAGCAATTCACAGGTAGGAGTTATTTCTATTTATAAAATCATTTAATGTGATTATGGGTAAATTTTTTTAAATAAACAAACAGATCCTACGTTCCTTTTTTGGGTACAGAACTGAAGAACACAGCGCCATCTAGTGGAAAAAGGAAAGGTCCTGACTCATTGCCTGATGGCGCAGCCTGCAAAAGGTCCACTCTGTTGCATTCCCATCTTTTGGTAAGTATCTCATGATTTCTCTCTGAAAAACCTTCTGAAATTTTTCCTGGGTTAATTTTAGAAGGAAGTGAGTGTGCAACTTGATTTTTCTTCTTTTTCAGACACCACCCCAAACACCAACACCAGGGGAGAGCATGGAAGATGCTCATCACAATGAACCCAAACATGACAGCAGTGCCGATCTGCTTCAGAACATCATCAACATCAAGAATGAATGCAGCCCTGTTTCCCTGAACACAGTCCAAGTTAGCTGGATGAGCCCTGTGGTCCCTCAGAGTTCTCCCAGAGAGCAGTGTCAGGACTTTCATGGAGGGCAGGTCTTCTCTCCACCTCAGAAATACCAGCCGTTTCCAGTCAGTGGCTCCCCACAAATGGTGGATCAGGCTTCCTTGTACCAGTACTCGCCACAGAACCAGAGTGTGCAGCAACAGCAACAACACATTTATAGCCACAACCTAAATCTGGAATATAGTCCTTATTCCAGAAATCAGTCCCCCAACTATGAACCACATCTCTTTGATGGTCAGGAACCTCAGTTCTGCCCAAACCAAAGTTTTGCATCTCTTCTAAGTAGTCACAGGGAATCTGAGAATATTGCTGTTCCCATTCAGACCCCTCCTACTATCCAACAACAAAATGATGCCCACCTGCAGAACTTTAGTATGATGCCCAATAGTGCCTGTGAGGCTATGGCGGGGCACAGTACAGGCTCTCCCCCTTTAAACACCTCATTGTCATTCCACAACATCACCGGAAGTTCAATGAACACCACACAGTTAGGAAAGTCATTTTTTCAGTGGCAAGTAGAGCAGGAAGAAAGCAAGTTGGCAAATATTTCTCATGACCAGTTTCTTTCAAAGGATGCAGATGGTGACACGTAAGTATTCTCTAATGTACCTAATTTGATAAACCACTTTTGTTTTCTTATAAGTGTTTCTCAAATGTATACTAAGTTAGTCAGTGGTTGGTTTATTAATAGAATTTGTAGGTAGAAACTGCTACTCAAGTTTCTACTCTTATAAAAACTTTAAGAAAAGGTTTTTAATCTGTTTACCTTCCTGGATGAACAAATTTATCTTTTAGATTGATAATAAATATATTTCTATTCTATGGGTAATTGGTTTTGGAAGATCATAGATTTTGTTTGTAGAGCAGGAATGATTATATTGCAATTAAATTGTATGAGTAGATTGAATTTTGATCTGCTGTTGGTATCTTTCTTTGTGGCCTTGGATAAGTTATTTAACCTCACTCACTGTGCCTTAGTTTCTAGACCTATAAAATAATACTTCCCTCATGGTTTTAATGAGTGTCAAAAATAATTGATTAAAATGATCAGTGTGGTGCTAGGCATTCTTAGTATTTCTAGACACTGAAATTCTGTTGCAATTCAGATGTATCCAACTAGCAGAGAGGACAAATTATGCTCTGTAATGTTTCATTTGAGTGCATATCAAAAAAGGGCTAAAGGTCTTTCTTTTTTAAAATTGAACGTGTTGAAATCAAAAGGAATTTACCTCTTCTCCCGTCTGTGTTCTCCAGGTTCCTCCATATTGCTGTTGCCCAAGGACGAAGGGCACTTGCCTATGTCCTTGCAAGAAAGATGAACGCACTTCACATGCTGGATATTAAAGAGCACAATGGACAGGTGAGGATCTTGACAAGAGTCTGAAATGGCAAAGATTATTCATGTTGAAGAAGCTTTGGTGGCGTAGTGGCTACGACTCAGGCTGCTAACCTCAAGGCAAGGTCAGCAGTTCAAAATTACCAGCTGTTTCGCGGAAGAAAGATGAGGCGTTCTGCTCCCATAAAGATTTGTAGCCTCGGAAACCCTGTGCAGGGTCATTTTGAGTCAGAATTGTCTCTGTGGTACTTAACAACAACATTCATGTTGAAGAGGAATGGTGGCCAGTCTCATGCTTATGTGTAGACCATTTCAGAGCTAAGGACCAAGAGAGTTTAGTTAATATTAACTTTGAGATGTTGACTCTTTGCCAGCATTAGCCTTGAAGTTATTAATGTTAACTTTGTAGTTATTTGACCAAAGACTGAGTATAATAAAACCACACCCTGAACTTAGTTTAGTTTCCTTGTTTTATGGTATTTGATTGCATATAGTAGGGTATATTTTCTCTGTGTGGGTTTTCCCCATGTCTGAATTTAGGTTCATATTCCTTGTTACGATAGTGGAACGTATTTTTAAAAATATGTTTTTCTCTCTGAATGTCCGCAGAGTGCATTTCAGGTGGCTGTGGCTGCCAATCAGCACCTCATTGTACAGGATCTGGTGAACCTTGGGGCCCAGGTGAACACCACAGACTGTTGGGGAAGAACACCTCTGCATGTCTGTGCCGAGAAGGGTCACTCCCAGGTGCTTCAGGTAAGAGACCACAAGTGAAGCTCCTGTCATAGTCCACAGTGTTAGGGCTTGGATCTTAGAAGTTGGGTGGACACTGTTGTGATCATTTGTTTTGGGTTGGCTTAGTAATTTCTTGGGGTACAAATAAGATAAGTATTTGTGTAACTAGACTTTTGCTAACAGAGGACTATTTAAAAATGTTGTAGGCAATTCAGAAGGGAGCTGTGAGGAGCAATCAGTTTGTGGATCTTGAGGCAACCAACTACGAAGGTAACTACTAAATTTTTATGACACAGAATAATTTAGAGAGTGACCCAGGAGCTCAATTACTAAGTATCATACTAATAGGAAGGGGTGCAACCAATGTAGAAACATTCTCTAAATAAAATTAGCACTATGTTCCAATGAAGGTGCTATTCAGATTATGTCACTAGTTCTTGGATAGTCTGTTAACAGGTCGGGTTAGAGCGCCATCCTCAAAGTTGGCATTTATAGAGTAACAAAGACTTGATGGGATGTTTGACCATGCTTCATTGTGCTTTTTTCTAGGCCTAACTTCTCTTCACTGTGCAGTTGTGGCCCACAATACTGTGGTGCATGAACTCCAGCGGAACCAAGAACCCCATTCACCTGAAGTTCAGGAGCTTTTACTGAAGAATAAGAGTCTAGTTGACACCATTAAGTGTCTGATTCAAATGGGAGCAGCAGTGGAAGCTAAGGTAAGTAAACGCACAGAAGTGATTTGAAATGGGCTAGGAGAAAAACTTGATGAAGCAAAAAATGTTTATACCTAGCCGAGTGTGGGTGAAAAAATGTTTTCTATTCTTTTAAAAAAAATAATGGAGTGAGTAGCTTAGACTTTAAAAGTTGACCTCATCTCCTTTCTTGATCTGTTTGTAACTTGTGGATTATCCATATCCAGATGGTCATGTAGTTCTGAAATCAGTTAGTCTTTGTTTGAAAGGAATAGAGAAGTTTGGGATTGATACTGTCATTTTGACTTCCATTGTCATACACTGACAGTAATCCTTTTTTAAAATAAGGCTTTTTAAGCAGAAAAATATTTCATTCTTTTGAAATTGAGGACTTATTCATTGAATACCTCCTATATATGTAAGGCATTGGGGTTAGATATTTTTGGGGAAACTGACTAAACCAGTTGGGCAGTTTGCTAACTTACTGTCTGATAGAAGAGGTGAGTGTTTCAGTTAAATACAATGGTACAGGATCAACACCAAGTCTGGAAACAGGCGAATACATAATAAACGGTTTGTTGACATTACATGATTTGATAAAACAGTATTGTCTGTATTCCTACATTTTTTATGTACAGTATTGTCTGTATACAAGGTAGATTATGATCTGAGGCTCATGGGTAAATTAACAGGAAGTTTAAGGAGGAATGAAAGAGATACCATCTAGTAGCTTGGGAACTAGGAAGTCTAAAAGAAAAAGGAGCATTCAGAGTCTGCAGCGCTGAGTCAGAGCTTTGGGAGGCTGGGCAAAAAGAATATTTTGAGGCATGGTGTCTGAATGTTCATTTTTTTCTCACCTTGCTTTTGACAAGGATCGTAAAAGTGGACGCACAGCCCTGCATTTGGCAGCCGAAGAAGCAAATCTGGAACTCATTCGCCTCTTTTTGGAGCTGCCCAGTTGCCTATCCTTTGTGAATGCAAAGGTAATGACCTTCTTTACACCTTCCTAAAGCTTTTGGATGCTTTTCATGAGAGTGCGCCTTCCTGATGGGTGTTATTTCATCTCTTTGTCTTTAGGCTTACAATGGAAATACCGCCCTCCATGTTGCTGCCAGCCTGCAGTATCGGGTGACACAGTTGGATGCAGTCCGCCTGCTGATGAGGAAGGGAGCAGATCCGAGTACTCGGAACTTGGAGAATGAACAGCCAGTGCATTTGGTTCCTGATGGCCCTGTGGGAGAACAGGTGAGGGCAGATACACCTTTAGGTACTCTTGTCTGAAACATCAGCGGAGATGAGGTTGTGTAACTGGAGCTCTTAAGGTGGCTCAGTCAGTGTTCACGTCTCACAAATTAATTGCTTTGTCAAAGGAATTCCAGAGCTTATTTTTAGATCCAAAATGGTCAGGGGTCAGCAGCTAGTCTGTTCTTTCTTGATAAAGACTAGGTTTGAGAGTCAGAATGGCCTGGAGTTTGGAAGCTGATGAAAGAAAATCTTTGTTTTGAACGTAATGTAATGGTTTTCAAAAAGGATTATTGTATGAAATGTGTCAGTATCTGTAGCATTCAGAAGGGTCCCAGGCACATTGTAAGTGCTCAGTAAACATCAGCAGTTAAAAATATTTCTAATGGATACCAAACAAGAACAGGCGAGATTTTTGTTAATTTCTGTGTTTCTGAAGGTAGAAATATTTTATGGTTTAAACAGAATTCTGCTGAAGTTGTCAAATGTTAGATGTTATCATTGGAGGTTGAATAGTTTTATATGAGTGAAGTTTCTACATGTCTTGTTGTTATTAAGTGTCGTTGAGTCAGTTCTGACTCACAGTGAACCTGCATAGGTTCCCAAGGAGTGGCAGGTAGGTTTGAACCTTTGACCTTACAGTTAGCAGTTCAGTGCTCAATCTACCACACCAGGGTTTCATAACTTAGTGCCATTTAAACAGAAATACCACAAGTGGGTGGCTTTAAAGAACAAACATTTATTTTCTTACAGTTCAGGAGGCTAGAAGTTTGAATTTGGAGCCCTGACTTTAAGGCATTCTCCTTTTCTGTCAGCTGTGAGGGAACTTTCTTACCTCATCTTCTGTAAGCCTGGCATTCCACGGGTCCATGGCAGTCTTCATTTGGCACCTGTGTTCCTCCCATTGGTACTGGCTTGCTTCTGAATGTTCTGTTTCTTGTAATTCAGTGATTAGGCTTAGGACACACTCTATGTGCAGAGAGTCCTGGTGTGGCACTAAAGGATAAGCACTGGATTGCTAACCACAAGGTCAGAGCTTCAAACCCACCAGCCACTTTTAGAAAACACACTATACAGAACTGACTAGACTGCACTTAGTATAAGTTACACCAATATAACATCATTAACGTAACAGAGAAATTAGTCCAAATGGGATTTACATGCACAGGTATAAGGGTTAGATTACAACACACTGTTAGATGCGTAGTTCAACTTGGGCTCATAACAACCCCATGTGACAGAATAGAACTGTCTATAGCTTTTTCTAGGCTGTAATCTTTGTGGAAGTAGATTGACTAGTCTGTCTCCTGCTCCGTAATACTGGATAACAAGAATTTAATCTTTTAAGAACTTAAATATTTTTATTGGGAGTCTCTTCCTGAGGCGAGTGGTGGCTGTAGGTAAGCCATTACATACTTTTGTAATCATAAAGTAAATTATATGGAGTTTAACCTTTTCTTTGACTCATAGTCCTCATCATAATCATAATGTCATGGTAACCTATACTTGTATACCTCTTTATAACTAAAAACAAAAGCAAACTGTACTTGATAAAATACTTCCATGTATATTATGTCACTTAATGGTTATGAAAAGTCCACAGTTTGAAGGTTCACCTGAGAACACTGAGATATTCAGAGAGATTTCAGAGACAGAAACCAAAATCATTAAATAGTAAATGGCAGAGCCCTAACCCCAGTAGTGGTTTCTACTTCATTGCTTCTTGTGTGTTCTCACAGTTTTCTCAGGGACTGTTGTGAGGGTGGAGGGCTGCTTGACCTCTTCACTAATTTTAACTAAGTGCAGTATAAATTAAATAGCAAGGCTCTAAACAAAAGCCTGGGGCTTTCCTGTGATCCATAAAGCTAATGTGCAGGTGCTTTGGTACTTGGATAGCCCGACAACTATTTGATTAGAAAGATAAACAGAATTTACTTGTGTAAATTCTGTAAAAAAAATCTTCAGATAATTTTTAAGGAAGTTGCTTTACTTTATTATACTCGAAAGATTATAACAAGAGATCTGTAATAAGCTTTAAAAAGAGTTGTTAATAATCTGTTATGTTGCCTTAAACCCAAATCTGACTCATAGCAACCCTGTAGGACAGAGTTTAACTAACTGCCCCATAAGATTTCCAAGACTAAATCCTTTATCAAAGCAGACTGACCTGCTATATTATTCTTCTGTGGAGTGACTGGTGGGTTTGAACTGTTGACCTCTCAGTAGCTAAGCACTTAACGAGTGAGCAACCAATGCCCCTTTAAGTTGCCTTAAAACCTTGAAAAAGACTGTTGCATATTTCATCCTATACTTGCAAGTCAGTAGGATTGACACAGAGTTTATATACAAGGAAGGAATGCAACTCTGAAGGAACTTTGGTACTTTTGTCTATAAAAAAAATAAACCCTGTAAATTGTATGTATTTCTATTCCAGATCCGACGGATCCTGAAGGGAAAGTCCATTCAGCAGAGAGCCCCACCATATTAGCTCCACTGACTTGGAGCCTGGTCGGCAACACTCACTGTCAGTTAGGCAGTCCTAATATATCTGTACATAGACCATTTGCCCTGTATTGGCAAATGTAAGTTGTTTCTATGAAACAAACATATTTAGTTCACTATTATATAGTGGGTTATTTTAAAAGAAAAGAAGAAAAATGTCTAATTCCTTTTGACAGATTTGACTATTTCATACCCAGGTATCTGGAATCTAGACATCTGAATTTAATCTGAATGGTGAAATTGACTTTAATTATTAAACAATAGCTTTTAGGTAGGAAAAGACTGATATATATGGTTATGTTGTTGTTGTTGTTAAGTGCCATCGAGTCGGGTCCGACCCATATTATAGCTATTGATTATGTAGCTATTGCAAGTGTAAAGCAGGTAAATGATAAACATTACTTTAAGAAAAACGAATGGATTTGAAAGGTTAAAACAATATTGTTTATGTCTAAATTATGTTTCTATATAAATAGCATGTTGAGGCTTCTTGTAGCCTGATGTAATACCTGCTAGTTACCATTGATGCTGGAAAGTTTCTAATCAGTGGACTATTTCATAGGTATCCTTAGTTAAAATTAGTTTTTTTGGTAAGCTGTATATAATTGTTATCTTTCTTTAAAAGTAAAAAACTTGTGCATATTCAGTCATTAATATTGGCCGTATTTGCAATATAAATGAACAAGATAGAAAAGCTCTAGTGCACTGTCACTATTTTAAAATATTACACCCATTTAGAGAAATTGTTACTTTGTAAGCACCCAACTATAGACTCCATGGAGGAAGCAGATGGGGAGTTGTTCTCCTGTGTTTGGATTGTAAATATGCTTGTTCTCATGCATTGAGATGAAACATTTGTAGTGAATTGCTTGTATTTTTCTTGAAGAGAGAACACCTTTAAGCCTTACTTTCTAGGATTTTAGTTTATACACGCTCTTGGAATTTTTGTTCCACCTTTATATGAACAACAAAAAGTTAATATTGAAATGTGTCCTACTGTTTTCCTATGTAAGGTAGTTATAATATGCCATGATGTTTTATATTACTAGTCGGGAAATATGCTTTATTTTAACCTAAATTATTATTATTTTGCTTACCTCTGATAAGCCCTAAGAAACTTCAGTAGCTTTGATTGTGTACTAATTCTTTGTAATACATTTGATGAAATAAAACCTTTTTTTCTTTTTTTTAAATGAGAAGTTTTAAAAGTTACTGACTATCATCTTTGTAACTTAGCACTTACTCCTTTTTAAGAAGATTCTCTTTGGATTGATCACACTGTGACCCAGTGTGTCTTATACATAAAAGTTAGGTGTAGCTACTTCGCATATTCAGATATGATTGTGATGCAAACCAGTCATTCACACTGGAAAAGCTCATCTATGGTTTTAAATAAACTTACTAATTCTGTAATATTTGTCTTAAAGGATGTGCACTTCTTTTCCTAGGATCAAACCCCCAAACCAAATCAGCTGCCTTCTAGTTGATTCTGTCTCAGAGCAACCCTAAAGGACAGAGTAGAGTTGCTCCTTAGGGTTTTTGAAACAAAATATATATGAGAGGATGGTGCATGAATCATTGCTTTTTAGAAAGATCAGTGCAAAGCTTGCCTATATATGAGTTGGAGGTTAAAGATACCGTAACTGTTAGACTTCCCCAACGTGTTATACCACTCCGTAGTCCTTGATATCAACCACCATTTCTTCCTCCCCTCAAGTCTCCCAGTGTTCTGAATGAAACACACTTCAACATCTCATGAAACTCAAGAATTGTCAAGAGAAAAATGGCTCATGCAATTGTGTAGACTGACCAAGTCCCTAATCCATAGTTCAGAGCTCAGTTTGGAGGAGCCTTCTCAGCCACGTAGTCTCAGGAGCTGAGGGACCCAAATTGGCAGGGCAGACCACAGGCTGTTGCTGTATGAGGCTATAGGAGCTGGTCAGTCAGGTCAGGTAATGGGCCAAATGCCCCACAAACCGATGGTCAGACTTAATGAGTCAGATACAAGATCCAGAGCACTAGCGTGAGACTGCTTTCTCTAAGTGACGTAGCCTGCTGTTGCTCAGTACCCCATTTGAACCCAGTTTTTCCAAGTGGTATGGATAGGAGCCAGTGGTCTTCCCAGATGTGTAATATGTGTCCTTCAGAATCCAAATAGACCACAACAGCAGTAGTAGTGGTTAGGTGCCATCAAGTAGGTACCAACTCACAGCAACTCTACGCACAACAGAACATAACACTGCCTGGTCCAGGGCCAACCTCATAATTGTTGCTAGGCCCAGTCCATCGCTGCCACCACTGTGGCAATCCATCTCTCTCGTGATCTTACTTTTTCTCCGACCCTCATTTTACCAAACATGATATCCTTCTCCAGTAATATGTGTTCTTGGGAATATTTCTGAAGTAGGACAGATGAAGTTTGGCCATCTTGACTTCAAAAGAGCACCTCTGGCTGTACTTCTTCCAACACAGATTTGTTTGTTCTTTTGGTAGTCCATGGTACTTTCAGTATTCTCCAACACCATAACTCAAAAATGCATCAATTCTCCTATAGTCTTCCTTATTCACTGTCCAACTTGGCATGCATATGAGGTTAATTGAAAATATCCTGGCCTTGGGTCAGGCGCACCTTAGTCCTGAAACTGGCATCTTTGCTCTGGAACACCTTAAACAGACATCTTTTGCTCTTCAACACTTTAAAGAGGTCTTAGTTACGTCAATCTTTTTTCCATTTATATGGATGTTGTTGTTTACTGGTCCAGTGGTGAGTATTTTTGTTTATTTTTACATTGAGATGTAACCATATTGAAGACTGTGGTCTCTGATTTTCAAATGTAGGTATTACTAGTAGTAACTTAAACATTATTTTGAGAATCCGATGAGAGCTATCAATTATTTATCTGAAAAATGGACATGTAACTCTATACATAGGTGATATAATATCAATGGCATCACAGCCCCCACAGGTTAAGGATGTGCTTTAGTTCTATTTCTGCATATGAAGTTAAGAATCAATTCTTGTAAGAGTTAATTTTCTTTACAAATTCAACCTGTGAAAAGTTGAAATGAAAGACCTCCATTGAATATAGATACAGTAAGGTTCTCCTAGTTCTCTTGTAATTTCCCACTTGAATCAGATTCTATTTTTTTTTTTAAAGTTTTTATTGTGAATTAAGTGATAGTTCACATGGAAGAACATTGGTTTTACACCATCGTTTCATTGCAATGATTACAATCTCTATGCATCATCATTCAACAGTATTTGCTTCTGTTCCCTCTATTTATTTTGGGTGGGGAGGGGTGGTTAAGCACATACCTTGACTCAGTAATATATTAAAATGTAAAGGGTCTTCAAAAAGTTCATGAAAAAAATTGTATTATCTTTTGTTTTTTAAGTTTTTATTGTGAACTGAGTCATAGTTTATATGGGAGAATATGGGTTTTACACCAACGTTTCACTGCAATGATTACAATATCCTCCATGTATCATTCAACGGTATTTGCTTCCATTCCCTCTTTTTGTGTGTGTGAATGTACACAAAAACACTCAGGAATATATAATAATTTAAACGGCCAAAGGGCACATTCTACAAGCTTGCTTCCTGGCCACCAGCACTCAGTCCCTCTCTTCCCATGAGTCCAGAGTCCTCAGCTGCTCCCTCTCTCCATGTCCTCATCTCTGCCTCCATCTCTGGTGTCGCTGCTGCTCTGGATAGGGTCCCATATTCCACTTGCGCTCTTCTCTTTGATGGTCCTAGGGTCCTCGGTTTCTGGACTGTTAAGATTTACTACCCCATTTTTGTTACAAAACTTCTACCTTTACAGTTGTGACAGTCACAATTAGTCATGATATCATTTACTCACTATTAAATTATAAGTATCTTATCCCCAGCTCTTTTCACCAGACCCATCTAGACAAGATGAAAATTGAAAACTATTCAGTAGGAACTCTGTCTTCCCCCACACACTCTTAAACTAAACTTCTCTTCAAAACTTGTAATGCAGTCACTTGGTGCTTTTACGCCCCCTCATTTTAGATGTTAAGTGCCATCGAGTCAATTCTGACCCATAGCGACTCTGTATAGGCTTTCCAAGGAGCAGCTGGTGAGCTTGAACCACCAACCCTGCAGTTCAAATGGCTTTACAGTCTGGCGCATTGACCCACAGCACAATGCCTAAGTTGCCCGTACTATCTACCCTGTACAGAGGGGACAGGATTGATACTTGATGTGAAGACTACTTCTCTCTCAGTTGGTATTTTGAGCTATAGGTCAAGTTCATCAAATTATAGCAATTTACATTCATTTCTCAGATTGTATTTTTGTGTGTGTTTGTGTATATGTGTGTATGCAAAGCTGTATACTAGAGAACATGAGACATTCAAAGACATAAAGGGCACATTTCTTACCCTTAGGCTGTTTATGTAAGAGATAAGGCATATACTTTATTAGGTAGATGTTAAGTACCATTGAGTCAGTTTCAAGTCCTAGTGACCCTGTATAGGATTTCTGAGGAGCAGCTGGTGGGCTTGAACTGCCAACTTCACTGTTGGCAGTCCAGTGCTTATCCTCATTGTGACACAAAGCACCCTCATAAAAGTTTGTAAGCCAGTCACTTTGTGCCTTTATAGTCCCCCAATTCTGGTAGCTGAAGTCGAAAGTTGCTCGTCTCTATCAACCCAATGAATTGAGGAGATATGCTTGATCCTTGCTATGATGACTCCTTCCCTATTTGGTTGGAATTTTGGGCAGCTTCTGCCATAAGCAAAGGTCTAATTGAACAGATTGTAGCAATTTACTCCTTTTTTTTTTTCTTAAATGATTTATTGTGAATTATGTGAC